AGTTTAAACATAGTTAACTACCACATATCCCTTAAGCTACATGCGAAGTAGTATCCATAATAAAGTTTAAACATAACTAACTACCACATATCCCTTAAGCTACATGCGAAGTAGTATCCATAATAAAGTTTAAACATAACTAACTACCACACATCCTTTAAGCTACGTGTGAAGTAGTATCCATAATAAAGTTTAAACATAACTAACTACCACACATCCTTTAAGCTGCATGGGAAGTAGTATCCTTAATAAAGTTTAAACATAGTTAACTACCATACATATTGTACATCCCTTAAGCCATATCTCAAATAGTATCTTTGGTAAAGTTTAAACTGTTTTCATCCAAAACCGAAATTCACACTTCCAGCCCTATGAAAACAGTTCCAGTAATTTATCTTCATATAAATTAAGTACTGCTTTTTGAAATATCCACTTTTACAGCTATTAAGCAGATAAGAGTTGCATTGCAGTGTTTCTTTAGCTTATATTAAGCAGGTAAGTGTTGTATTATTTCTTCAGTTTACATTAAGCAGGTAAGTGTTGTAATATTTCTTTAGTTTATATTAAGCAGGTAAGAAGTACAATATTTCTTTAGTTTATATTAAGCAGGTAAGAACTACAGTGTTTCTTTAGTTTATACCAAGCAGATAAGTGTTCTAGTGTTTCTTTAGTTTATACCAAGCAGATAAGTGTTGTAGTATTTCTTTAGTTTATATTAAGCAGGTAAGAACTACAGTATTTCTTTAGTTTAAACTAAGCAGGTAAGAATTACAGTATTTCTTTAGTTTATATCAAGCAGGTAAGAGTTGTAGTGTTTCTTTAGTTTACATTAAGCAGGTAAGTGTTGTAGTATTTCTTCAGTTTATACCCTTACCTGCTTAGTTTAAACTAAAGAAATACTGTAGTTCTTACCTGCTTAATATAAACTAAAGAAATACTACAACACTTACCTGCTTAGTCATAACAGTATAAACTTATTTCTAGCTACCAGATTGAAATTTGTTTTATTAGGGATTATAGCTTGAGTTTGTTTCTCTCCAATATACAGGGTGGGCCAAAAATAGGGTTACAGTTAACACTTAAACATTTTTCCTTTATTAGAAATTTAGACATTTATTTACATACATTATATTTACATATTAGACATTTTACATGAGTAAGTAGTACAAAATAAGGTTTCAGCATTATTTTCTATGATTTACATGAATATTTAAAACGTGATTGTGAAGGAGAAACAAATAATAGAGTAACTGTAACCCTACTTTTGGCCCACCCTGTATAAAACCTAAGAAACACTACAGTTCTTAAATGTATAACATAAACTTAAGAAGCACTGTAACAATTACCTGCTTAATATAAACTAAAGAAACACTGTGGTTCTTATCTGCTTAATACAAGCTAAAGAAACACTGTGGTTCTTATTTGCTTAATATAAACTAAAGAAACACGGTAGTTCTTACCTCCTTAATGTAAATTAAATAAATACTACAACACTTACCTGCTTAATATAAACTAAAAAATACTGTAGTTCTTACCTGCTTGATATAAACTAAAGAAATACTGTAGTTAAACAAATTAAATATTTCATATGCTCAACATTGTTTGCTTTAAATCTGGTAACTAAACAGAATGTTATATCATTGTGATTAAACAAATTAAAAGTTCAACATGTTCAATGTTTTTTAAATCTTGTACATAAGATATCTAAGCTTCTTTTACTCAATTCAAGATAAATATAAACACTGCTCCAGAAACTAAAAATAAAAACACTGACATTCAAACACTGGAAGAAGTAAATTAATGTCACATACTAGTTTCATTTTGTAAATCATTTATGGACAGGAGTATCTACAACTAATTGGCCTACATTTACTTACCTTTGTTTTTTTCATGTTAGTCTTAAGTTCAGATAGTTGTTTTCCTACTATTAATAACCTACACTTAACAATCTTTTATCTTCAGATTATTCCTAAATTCTGATACTTGGGCTCATACTGCCAATGACCAACACTTAATTATCTTCTTTTCTTCTAATTAGTCCTAGCTTCACAAACTGGGGTTCTTCCTACCAGTAAGCCTACACTTAATGACATTTGCTTTCTTCATGGTGGTTTTCCATAACAATGAACATACTTGCATGGGACAAAATAGTTTGATGGATTTGCTTAGCAATTAGCAAATATTGTTTAGCATCTTTTTAACATTCATCATTTTAATGCATTATAGCAACTAAATCCAGCACTAATAATCTTAACTCTTTGTAAAGACTAATGAAAAAGAGGTAAATGGTACAAATTCGATGACGAGGAACCCACTTTGAGACTAATAATGGCTGGAGACGGCTTGAATGGGTAATGAAGAAAACTTAAA